TTGTGTCTTTTTCTATGAACACAACCATGTCCAGGGCTGAGTGCCTGCTGGAGAGGGGAGCTCCACAAAACTGGGACTCTCTTAAAGGCAGACAAATGGGCTCCCGACATCTGATGGGGTTTGCCCCTGTGCTTATCTGTTTCTTCAGGAAAAATTGGAGGCCCATTTGAAGACTCTGAGGGAAGAGAGAGAAAAGGTGCTGGGAAGGAAAACAACAGCAGAAGGGACACGCCAGGAGTATCTGGTAGGTGCCTGTCGTTTGAAACAGCAGGGACTGGCAGTGGGAGGGCTGTTAGGAGGCAGACTCGTGTGGCCTTGGTGACATTGGGCTTGTTGGTGTTTCTCCTGGATTGTGGATTGCATGGTGAGATCCATGTGTAGACAGGCCCTGAGCTTCCATGTCAGCGCATGAGTTAATGTCCAGCCTTTGTAGTTTTCCCAGAAATCCTCCTCAAAGGAGCTGAGTGTCCCCCTAAAGGGTTGTCTGCTCACTTGGTGTATTAACATGTTTCTCCTTTTTCCTTCCTGGATATCTCTGTCAGGCTGGTGCTGAGTCCTGCCTCGTGCTGCTCAGGGTCTGAATTTCCAGAGCCCATGAATATCAAAAGATGCTGCCCATGACAGATATGGGCACATCCCTTTCAGAGGGACATGGGGCCCAAAGGAGATGCTGGGAAAGCCACCTCTGCCTAGTAACCACAAAGTAGAGTCAAATGTCACACATTTTAGGGTTTTCCAAGAAATTCTCCCTGCTTCACACTCAGCTCTCCATGAAAGGGCCCTGGGCTCCATTCATGCCCTTGACCAACCCTTTCCCTGTTTCCATACAGAAATGGACCCAAGCCGAGAGGCAGATGATTGTGGCCGAGTTTCAGCAGCTGCGGCAGTTCCTGGAGGAACAAGAGCGACTCCTGCTGGCCCAGCTGAAGAAGCTGGATGAGGAGATTGGGAGGTTCCAGACTGACACTGTCGGGAAACTCTCTGTGCAGATTTCCCGTATCAGCGAGCGGATCAGTGAGCTGGAAGGGAAGTGTCAGAAGCCAGTGAATATATTCCTGCAGGTGAGACCGAGGGAGAAACGTCTCAGCTCCCCACACAGGGAAGGGAGGCTCCTGAATCACAAGTGCTAAGGTCCAGCTGTCAGATCTGGGTGTAACTCCATGTGCATTGCTGCCATGTGAATGACTCTTGTGCTTTGTTGAGTTACAGGCACAGAGCTATAAGAGATTGTAAAGCCCCATTCACTCAGGGGATCCATGTTCCTGGAGTCAGGGCAGGGGCTCTCTTCCCATGTTTGCAAAATCTCTTCCCTGAGGTCCCCTGTGTGTGTCCAATGGGGCTGAGAGTCTTTTCTCTGTCTTTTTTCTAGGACGTCAGAAGCACCCTGAGTAGGTATGTGGCTCTTGCTCCCCTCCCGCTACACAGCTCAGGAAAAGAGCTTGGAGCTGATGTTAGCACCACATCTCCACAGGGCTCTAAAAGCCAGATGTTAGATACAAATATCTCTGGCTCATTTAATTCTGAGGGTCTCATCCTCGCACAGCAGATTCTGGAATTCCCCTTTCAGGGCACAGTCTAACCTCAAGTGCTTCCTGGAGCTGCCACCTCCCTGTGGGCTGTGGGGTGGAACATGGGCCTGTCACTGCTGGGCACTGGGCACATTCAGCCCAGGGCAGCAAGGACCAAGAATCTGTCCCACCTGAGGGCTGTTTGGGGACCTGTGTGGAAGGAGCTGGGGAGAGAGGAGCTGGTGTCTCAGTCTAGTCCCTACTGGACAGATTCCTTCAGCCCTTCACCTGGGAAACTCCTGTCCCTCAGCGCCTAGAGGCCAAGGAGTGAGTTGGCCATGGAGACTCAATTCCCCTTTTGTCCCACAGTCAGTCTCCCCAGGACAGAAGTGAAGAACAGCAATGGGACCTTTCAGGGGAAGGTTGCATGGCCATGGACTGTGTTGCTGGGAAAATTGGAGGAATTCTAACTCCAGGTCTGTTAGAGCTGAGACTCACTAGCCGGAACTTATCAGCAGTAAATGAAATACAATCACATGGAATTGTTTCTGTCCAGATGTGAGACGGGGCAGTTCCAGTTGCCAGAGGAGATTTCCCCTGAACTGGAAGAACAAGTCAGAGGTTTCTCCCAGAAAACGATTGCTCTATCGGAGACTCTGAGGGAGTTCAAAGGTACCTGGAAGGGATGGATGAGGGGAAAGTGGTTCAAGTATCTGAGACTATTGAATCTGGCCTATGAAGCCAACCTTCCCCTGCCTCAGTTCCCACGTGGAGAATGACGGCCCCATCACACTGCTCTCCTTAGAGACACTGAGCGAACAGACCCAAGTGCTTGCAGATAAATCCAGGGGTTTGCAAACTCTGAACCTCCCAGTCAGAGATCAAAATGGCTAAAGTTACTGTGATGACCACGTGTTCTGCCACCACAACTCCAGGTTATGATAAGAGGCAGTAAGTGAATGAGAAGCCAAGTGGGAGGGGGTGAGGAGGGAAAAGTAAATCTCACTCACAGCTTCTCTCCTGGGACAGGTTGCGGGGATGTTGGTTCCATTGCTGGGAGGTGCCCGAGTGAGAGAAGGAATGAAAGTTTAGACTCTTTCATACTCAGTTCCTGAGTGTGTCTCTGGTCTCTGATACAATTGAAATGCAGAGTTCAGAGTGGGGACATTGTTATAAATAGGAGAGCCTGGAATCTCTCCTCTCTTATCCCTTCCCCCACCAGACACTCTGCCCTCTGCGCTGGAGAGAGCAAGAGGAAAATCCCTGGGAGCTTTCAGACAGGGTAAGTTTGCAGGTGGAGAGTCTTTAAATTATGAGAATTCATGGGATTGTCATTGAAGTTACCAATCAGACCCAGTGACCATAGCGAGCACAGCCCTAAATCTCAGCCACTCATCCCTAAATCTTACCCACTGATCAGCGAGGAGACCCGGGGCACTGCATGGGGACCTGTGGGCACTTGGAGAAACACTGGTCTACGGGGTGTGATGCTAAAGGGGTGAAGTTAAAGCACACAATGCACGGCACCTTCAAGTTCAAATTTCACTGCTCAGTCAGTTTCAATATGGGGTTGGTTTCAAACAATAAATAGGCTGAGCGCTGCCTGGCTTCTACTATATCAGTTCGTTCAAAGCAAGAAACTACTGGATCCCTAAGGGCTGTTACGTCTAGTGCAGGCCTGGGCAAAATACAGCCCATAGGTCGGATCCACCCCACCAAGCCATTGGATCCAGCCCACAGATGCCACTCCCCATCTGCAAGTCACTCAGAAAGCAACTGTGAGCCTGGAGAGGAGGGGGGAAGGCTTCAGGTGCTGCTTCCACCCCCAGGACAATCTCATTGGCCAGTTTCTGGCCAGAAACAAAGCACCGTGCCCCCTTCCCTCTGGGTCATAATTATTCACACACCCACATGGCCCTGCAGCCTGCCTTCCTGAGGTACTTGGCCTCTGGCCAGGAGTCACTCAGATAAATCTCCTGTCCAGAGCTTGCCTCTGTCACCCCAACCTCTCCCTTCCCAACCTAATATCTGCTCCCCACTCCTGCCCCGCACTCACCATGCCCAAACCCTGTCGTTGTCCTGCAGCTATGTTTGCAGGAGCTCTCAGTGGTCAGACACCCACAGCGCCTTATTTGTCCACCCAGTCACTTCTCTAAATTAAAGTTACTTAAGTATCTAATGAGTAGTTGGCTAATCCAGTGTCCTTTATCACAGCCTGCCTCCTTCACCCAAACTCCCTTCTAGACCCCTCTGTAGGTTCTGCATCCCAAACCCTTACCCCAAGCTCCCTTCTTCTCCTAACGTCCATCCCAGACCCTGCATTTTGTGCATTAATGTCATGGAAGAGTGCAGCTCTCAGCCACTTTCCATTTGGCCCCCCCATCAAAATGTATTGCTCACCCCATCAAGTGGATATGGCTCAGTGACAGCCAATAAGTGAAAGCTCAAGCCAGACTATTTTAGGCTAGAAAAAAGGCACAAATGTTTGATAGGGAAGCAGATTAGCTACTGAAACAAATGAACAAAACTGGTGGATTCTCCCATCTCTTAATATCTTCAAATCACTGGGGGACTTTCTTGAAAGTACACTGTGGGGAAACAGCTTTGTGCCTGGGTAACTGGATGGAGTGTAATGGCTTGTGCCACAGAGGGGTCAGACTGCGTGACTAAGGATATTTTCTGATCCCATGAATCCATGAATTTTAAGATCTCTTCCTAAAAACACTCAGCACACGTGTTTAATAATAAGCATCTGAATGGTGGTGTTACCTTCACTGACTCCGTTGTGGAAAGGGTTTGTAACGTCTCTGTGAGATGAGAGAGCAAAGTTTGTGCTGCAAATCTGTGAATGAAGACTAAGGGTTTCAAATACAACAGCCTGCATTTAGCCTATGTCAATGTTCAGGCAGATGAATATGTGGCTTGTTATCGGAAACACTGGGTGCTGAGAACTAAATCCCGTTGTTGCAGAGGCAGTAATGTTGTAACTCAAGCCAGGTACAGACAGAAATGAATGTGTATTTGGGATCTAACTCCTGTGTGCTGTTTCTGGAATATCTAGACTAAAACTTTTGCCCACAATGACAGAGTCTAGCATGTGTGTCACCACGGACAGAGTCTGGGCAGAATGGGGGTGTGGAAAGGATTAAAGCCCCTTCTGAAATGTCTCCAATTTCTCTTTTCCCCCTACCAGGCTGCAGAACACCCATGTCTGACTCCAGCTCAGCCCCTGACCTGCAGAGCCAGGGACAGGAAATGGCCGTGGCGGAGCCGGTGAGCTTCGAGGACGTGGCTGTGTATTTCTCTGAGGAGGAATGGGCTCTGCTGGATCCGGGCCAGAGAGCCCTCTACAGGGGTGTGATGCAGGAGAATTATGAGGCTGTGAACTGGCTGAGTAAGGATTCCTGTCCCCTTGGGTAACAGCAGCTGGGTGGGCTCTGGAGCATCTGGATTAGGTTTGATTCAGGGTTATTCATTGCCTCTGCCTCCAATGTCAGGACTATCTGCCATAATAATCCTGGCTCTTGTGTGAAAGACTGTCCCCTCCGTGCCCCCTCCCAGGTTCAGGTCTCATTCCGCTTCCCCCCTATCTTGCCCATCTTGTGCCTTGACCAGAGGTGTGAGTGGAAGGGCTCAGGCAGGAACATCAGGTACCAGAGGTCTGGGTCTGGCTGCTGTTAGTGGCTGCAGGATCCCCATGTGGCAGTGTGCTTAGCCACTGGAAGGTGGGCGCGGTTCCCAGAGTCCTTCCCTGCCTGTAGCTAATCTGTGACATGCTGGTACTTGTCAGTGAGAGGGGCTGGAGGCTGGGGCTGAGGGAGGGTGGATAAGGCAGTTCACGCTTTTGTGAGTATTTTGTCTGAGGTAGCTCTGTAGTAGACAAACATGAGCAGAGCTCCCCTTGCATTTCAGGCACAGGTTGGGTCTCCTTTCAAAAGTTCAGCTTCCTTCTCTCTGGGGCTCACTTGCCTCTCTGTGCAGTGGAGATAAATCATGTCACCTGTCTTGTCTTTTTATATATGCGGGTAGGAACTTTTTCTTCCTGTGTGAATGTCTGGCTTCATGCTCAGGAGACCTGTGTTCAGTCCTCTGCCTGTCACAGTCCCCCTGTGTGACCTTGATCCCTCTTAGACTCTCTGTGTGGTCATTTCTCTCTTTACTAGCTTTTATAGTGTGTCCCTGTTTCTCAGGGCTGGGAAGGATACCTACACTAAAGAGGGGTGATGCTTAGCTCCATATGAGCACTGCAATAGCACAGTGGGGTCCTGATTTACACCAGAGTTCCCAGGTGCTGCTGTGATTGATAATTTTGCTTCCCACAGTGACTGCAGTGCCATATGAATTGCTGCTAGTGCCACAGAGAGTTGATACGGCTGTTCAGGGCGGATCTTTCTGGAGCCTTGATGCCAGCGGCACTGGCAGGGCATGCAGCTTATCCATGCAGCACGGCATAGGGTTGCTGCTAAGAAAGACCCAGGCTCCATTCAGAGGCTAAGGCACTCAGCCAGGTTTATTGTGAAAGGAGCAGGGTGCTAGTGTCCCAGCTCCTCAGACACAGGTATAGTGAGACTTGTCCCAACCCAATAATGGTACCAGCTCAGTCAGCAGCTAGAACACTGCCCCTCAGCCAGTATCAACATGCCCTTCCTGTGACTTCTCCTCTCATATTGACCAAAATAAAATACATGTTGCGTTCCATGTGTTGCTACCCCACTTGGCCTTCTGCCTCTTTGTTTGAACAAAACATCCATATCCATTATCCCCTCATCCCGCTCTTGTGCACAAGGGTCAGTGAGCTATCTGTTAGGACTGTGTGTTTGCAGTTCCTGCAGAGAGCGGTGAGTTGATTGCCCTCCTCCTGCTCAGGAATGTGATTTCTTGGTTAGTTGATAGCAGTGCTCCACCATTCTGCCAAAGCCTGGCTTGTTTTAGTTCAAAAATAATGGACATAAACAAGATAATCCTAGTAATCAGATCAGAATTTTCCCATTGACTCGGCACACAGCACATTCGCACAAGGTTTCTTGCGATTGTGTAACAGTGGTAGCACAATGATCTCCATGGTCACATCACAGGTGGCTCTTCTGAACACTAAATGCAGGCCCAAGAAGGGGTGGAGGCAAAGCTGAGGGGAAAGCGCTCACAAGGTGCAAATGTGGTCGATTCTGTGCCTCCCTGGAGCGGCCCC